CTTGTATGCCATCCTAAGGAATCTAGACTTTATTCTCAGAGCCATTGAAGAATTTAAGTCTTATTAATGGACATCATTTAATACTGTGGGATAAGCTACACTTAAAAATACATATTGATGGGGTGCCTGGGTAGCTCAGTCGGTTAAGCATCTGCTTTTGGCTCGGTCATGATCTCACGGTCTTGGGATCGAGCCCCACGTTGGGCTCCACACTCAGCAGGGAGTCTGATTCTCTTTCCTCTCCCTCTGCTCCAACTCCCACTTGTGCTCTCTCTGTCTCACTCTCAAATAAATAAATAAATAATCTTAAAAAAAATACATATTGAGCTCCCACCATGATGCAGGGATGAGCTCCTTCCCAAATGCTGGGAGCTCTCCAGTGGAGAAGACAAACGTGGTATCTACAATCAAGGTTCCTAATGTAAATGCTACAATAAACAAATCATTGTAAATTATAATAAATGCTATAAAATAAAAGGATAAAGTGCTCTGGGGCGCCTGGCTAGCTTAGCTGGTAGAGCATGTGACTCTTGAGCTTGGGGTTGTGAGTTCAAGACCCACGGTGGGCATAGATTACTACAAAAAAAAATAAAATTAAAATAAAGTGCTTTGAGAGACCCTGAGGAGGGATAGCATGGACGGGAATGACACCCCTAATTTGAATAGGGTCAGAAGCAGCCTCTCAGACTAAAGAAGCAACGTTTCAACAGACATGAAGACAGGGGAAGAGGAAAATAACATGTACAAAGGCCATGCACGATAAACAGCTTGGCGTGTTCAAGGAAATGAAAGAAAGCCAATGTGCCTGGGATACAGAAGCCAGGGCAAAGAATGGCAGGAGCTGAAACCTGAGGAGCCAGAACATACAAAACTTGGAGGTCATGATAAGAAACTGGGATTTTATTCTAAGTGCAAGAAACCATTGAATTCCAGGGGAATGACATGATCTGAAAATTTTTAAAGAGCATTCTAGAAACCTGACATAGAATAGATTAACGAGATAAAAATGGAAGTAGGAAGACCACTGAGGACGCAACCAAGATTGTAGAGAGAGAGGTGATGGTAACTTGGACTAAGGTAGTAACCATGGAGATGCACGGGGTGAATCCAAAGGGTAGGAAAAGGGAGAACTCAAGAGTGACTCCTAGGTTTCTGGCTCGAGCAGCTGCAGAGATACTGACATAGGGAACACCTGAAACTGGCTTGAGGAAGAAATCAAGAGGTCTTTTGTTTTAACACGTTAAGTGCAGGAGACTGAACAGAGACTCCCAAGGCTCTCAGGTCCAAATCCCTGAACCTCTAAATGTTGCCTTATATGGAAAAGGGTCTTTGCAGATGTGATAAGGATCTTGAGATGGAGACACTATCCTGGATTACATGGGTGGGCCCTAAAATGCCATTCCATGTATCCTTGTAAGAGAAGGCAAAGGGAGATTTCACAGACACAACAGGCGAAAGCAATGTGATCGCGGATGCAGAGACTGGAGCAATGTGGCCACAAATCAAGGAATGCCAGTGGCCACCAGAAGCTGAAAGAGTCAAGAAACAGATTCTCCTCTACAGCCTCTGGAAGGAGCGTGGTCCTGCTGACACCTCGATTTGGGACCAGTGATACTGATTTCAGATTTCTGGCCTACAGAATGGTAAAGGAATACATTTCTGTTTTTTTTAAACCACCAAGTTTGTGGTAATTTGTTACGGCAAGCCACAGGAAACTGAACACATTAAGTTTGAGATGCCTTCCAGCATCCAAATAGAGGTTTCAAATAAGCTGTTGGTAAAAGAGTCTGGAGTCCAAAAGTTAAAGTTATTGTTTTAAATATCCCTAAGGATTCGAAAGTTGTACTCTTACCTCCAGGTCCTTTCGAATGCTCTCAAACTCCTCAATGTCATCAAGCTTCAGCTCCAGGCGGGTTGGTTTTCGCCGCAGCATACTGAGATCAACACTGAGGGCCAGACCCAGTGAACTATCAGCTGTTAGAAATAGCAGAGGAGGAAAAACCGGAGGGGATAAACCTCAGCTACAAATACAAGATCAATTTGTCAGCATGCATGTTAAAGGAATGGTGATACAAAAGACTCATTTGGGTTCACACATAGACTTCTAAGTCATCAGATGTATGATTATTACATGATGAAGATCCATAACTCTCCAATTCCAAAAAAAACCCAGTCTTCTTCAAGAAAAAAAGAGCAAGCTGCCTATAAAAGAGGATTCTAAGCAACAATCACTTTAATCTTATACTCCAGTCACATTCAAAGAAATACTCTAGCTCAGAGAATAAAGCTAAAATAACATATCTTAATTCAGTATAATTACTGGGAGAGTACATAAGCCATTAAATTTGATCGACTCTGCATAAGAACTGTGACAGATTTGTTATCACTCCTGAATACTGAAATCAGCTTACTAAATCTCATGAAAACTCCGTATAACTCACCAACTCACAGGGTTATCCTCAGGGTCTAAACAGGTCCTAAATGGATAGGTCATTCATTCATTAAACAAACACTTCTTATGCTCCCTCTCCAGAGTTAAAAGGCATAGCCACAGCCTGTGGGGAAAACAAACACGTAAACAAAAAATTGCAACATATTCTAATGACTCTGATGGAGGACAATGCAATGGCACCACACAGGCACCCAATCCAGTCTGGGTGGAGTGTGGGATAAACAGGGACATGGAAGGCCTTCTGGAGGAGATGTCTTAGCTGACTTGTGAAGGGCAGGCAGAGAAAGGGGAGTAAGGTAGAGAGAACAAGAACACAAAGAGGCTCAAAAGAACAATCCTGAGGCTGAAAGCCTAAGGTAATGCTTATGCTAACAAAAAACAATTTTTTTTAAAGACAGTGAAACTCCCCAAGTCAGTTTAATACCTGTTAATGGCATCATCTTTATATTCTCCATAGCATCCAGCAGAGTGTATCTATAATAACCACTCAGTACATGTGCTGTTGAATAAACTGAGAAACCCAAATAAAGTTAAATGAACTTTTCTTGAGCACTGTGCTACACTTTTCCATTCCCATTCTTTACATTTTTATTTGAACACAGAAACCCTGTGATGCTGGCAAAATTACCTCTATTTTATAAATGAAGTTGAAACTCTTCAGTTTGGTTAATAAATGTCAGCCTCCTATAAAACTTATACATAGGTCACATGGTGAGGATTAAATGAGAATGATGTAAACAAAAGCTCCTTTAAAGTATGTGCAGCTATAGGGGTGCCAGGTTGGCTCAGTCAATAATGCATCAGACTCTTGATCTCAGGGTCATGAGTTCAAGCCCCACATTGGGTGTGCAGCCTACTTGGAAAAAAAAAAAAAAAGTGGACGCCTGGGTGGCTCAGTTGGTTCGGTGTCTGCCTTTGGATCAGGTCATGATCCCAGAGTCCTGAGATGGAGTCCTGGGATCCAGTCCCACATAGGCTCCCTGCTCAGCGGGGAGTCTGCTACTCTGCCCCTAACCTGGCTCATGCGCACATGCACAAGCCCACTCTCTCTCTTTTAAATAAATAAATAAAATCTTTAACAAAAAAAAGTATGTACAGGTATAAACTATTATTACATCTATTTAGTATGTAGCTAGAGACTTAAGTATACAAAAGAAGAAACATATCCTTCTGTGAAGCTTGGAACAGAACAGGGGATATTCTCAAACAGTGGCACATACATTTCATATTGTTTTACATTGTTTCAGATATTATCTTGGGGAGCCTGGCTGGCTCAGTCGGTGGAGCATGGGACTCTTTATTTCCGGGTTGTGAGTTCGAGCCCAACGTTGGGCGTAGAATTAAAAATAAAATCTTAAAAAAAAAACCCAAACAACCCTAAAATAAATAAATAAATCAGATACTATCTTAAAGCCAATGTAAACAAATGGTAGAGGAAGCCAAAGTTCCAAGGGAGAGTAGGGGAGGAAAGAATATTTCAAAGAAAAAAGCTCTGCTGTACATTTTCTTGTATTTTCTTTAGTTTTCTGCAAACTGTAAAGCTCGCCACTAGGAAGTAGTACAGAGTAAAGGGCAAAAGTTCTCGCTCAAGAAAAAGAGCAGAGGACAGAGATTTTAATCCCACACGCCACTGATCTTGGACAATTAGCTTCATCTTTCACTAGACCTTAGTTTCCTCGTGTTCTGTACTCTGTTGCTTAGATTGAACGAGGTAAGGCAGTGTAAGTTTCTGGAACATAATTTGGCATTTGGTAAACGCCCAATAAACAATAGTTATTATTACTGTAATTGTCCTTGGCGAGGTTAGGGGCGGCTCTGTCCAGCTCGAGGAACACCAATATTTTAAGTATCTCCACCCCCGACACGGGGGCCAAGTCCTCGTCTTGTTCATCTCCGCTGCCCCAGCCCCGAGCAGAACACAGGGCCACGCAGAGTTGCCGGTGTGCACTTTACCTGACGCCTTCACAGGCATCTTCTCACTCTGAATCAGATACAAAGACCGGGCTGAAGACAAACAACAAAAGAAGGCCACGGCTCCTCCTCCGGGTCTTTATTTTACTTTGGCGCTAGAGGGCTCTTCGAGCTTAATCTGTCGCCAATGCCCAAATCCCCAAAAATTCACCCAGCTCAGAAGACCCTTGGGAAAACTTCCCGACAGCAGAGGAGGAGAACAGCACTCCCTCCGCTGCTCCAGAGTGGCACTCCCGGGTCCAGAGCGAGGGTTTCCATGGCAACATGGCCCTCCGCTCCAGGACGACTGAAGCCTCTCGTAGAGCCAGGAGCGACGTGAGGCCTCGGAAACCCTCCATTTGCTCCGGAGTTCAGCCCCAGGCCGCGCGACTCGACGAACCTACCTCTTTTCAAGCCTGCTCAGCGTTTTCCCGGAACCCCGGCGCCCACCGCGAATCTTCTGCTAAGCGAACTGGACTACACTTCCCAGACTGCTCTGAGATTCTCTCCTCCAGAACCTCGTCTTCCGCGTGCTTTTCTCAGAGGTTTTCCACGGTTCACGCTACTCTTCGCGCCACGACTCCTCCGTACTACAACTCCCATCATGCTCCACGCCACCCAGGACGTTGCGTCGGCCCTCGGCCCACTTCCGGCCAGTGACGTAGTTCCGCTTTGCTGGGCGCGCGGTGGACGGTCTGAAACGTAGCTCGGCTTTCGCTGGGACTTCGCGGCTCGGGAGCTCAGCATGGCTACCTCACGAGGCTCCTCCACGGTACGGATCTCCGCTCACTCTGGCGAGGAACGCGGAAGGGGTTGGGGGACAAGCGGTTCCTGCGAGATGGGGCCGCTCGGGAACGGCCTAAGGTGGTGGAGGACTGAGGTGAAAGGCTGCGAGACTCGGTCCTGTCTTAGAGGAGCCGCGTTTTCCTGATCCCTAAGTGCGTTCCTGTGTTTTAGTTCATTTGCACCTCTCACTACAGCCCCAAACTGTAAATACCTCTTCCAACTGGTCCAAAAATGGAGCTCTGGAAGGGAGTAGTATCTTGGCTCAGATTTAGGTCTACGTCAGATTTCTTAATTGTAGTAAGGCCTCCTAACTTCATATATATTGCCTTACGTCTGAATACGTTTGAAACGTGTAGACCAACAACTAACTAGTCCCCCTCAGTATTGCGTTGGTTATTCGTGATCCTTGATGTTTCCCCTGTGATGAGCAGTAGCCCTGGAAGTTTCATAAAACCCAAGAAGAGATTGCAACGGAACGAGGTAAATATGTTCCAAAGCAAATCTTTGATAGAAAAATTACCAAGAGTAATTCACTAGTTTTACTAGCTTTTTCCTATCTGCAAAACCTAATTAAGAGACACACACGCCCCCGCCCCCAGTCAGTGGAGATATCTTAAATGATGACCAACTTGTCCTTTCCTTTGGGGAAGAAGTAGGATTGAAGCTCAGGATGAGCTCCATCCTTTGGGGAAGCCTAATAAATGACTAAGATTAAGCCTCAGGTTGATCCATGTCTTCGATTTATCAGGCAGCCAAAACTAAGGCACCTGATGACTTAGTTGCTCCTGTTGTGAAGAAACCACACATCTATTATGGAAGTTTGGAAGAGAAGGAGAGGGAGCGTCTGGCCAAAGGAGAGTCTGGGATTTTGGGAAAAGAAGGACTTAAAGCTGGAATTGAAGCAGGAAATATTAACATAACCTCTGGTAAGATGCAAATAGCGAGTCTCTCTTTATCTTTGTATTATACTCAGAAATTTCAATGAAACTTGGATTTATGTAAGGCCATCCTTTGCCTACACTGGTTAGCATCATCCAAAGAGCCTTTCTCTTAAAACCTTTTATACAATTTTTCTTCCATTGAATTGTTAGTAATCTTACCAGGAATTTATTCAGTGTGTATTTGGATTCAAGTTGATTCCATTTGTCTTCCAGAGATCTAGTATAGTTCTGGCATTGGTTTGAAGCTACTATGGTTTGTAACATTCTCTCCTTTTTAATTTTCTAATTTTTCACGCTAAATGAAATATCTGTTTTAAATCATAAAAGTAATATTTTTATTTTGAAAGAAATCAAAGTGTTAGGGCGCCTGGGTGGCTCAGTCGGTTAAGTGTCTGCCTTCAGCTCAGGTCATGATCTCGGGGCCTTGGGATCAAGCCCCACATTGGGCTCTCCGTTCATGAGGGAGTCTCCTTCTCCCTCTCACTCTCCCTCTGTGCACGTGTGTGCGTGCGCTCTCTCTCTCAAATAGATAAATAAATAAAATCTTAAAATCAAAGTGTAGAAATGTGTAAAGTAGAAAATCCTGTAATCCTTATTAATTGGCTCTATATCTTTCCAATTTAATAAAGCTGTAAAAATTTGTCATTTTTTTCACAAATGAAACATATACAAATTGTTTTATAACTTGCATTTTTCACTGATACACTGTTGGGGATAGCTTTCCACGTCAATAACTAATGGTCCTCTATATCTTTATTTATTTATTTAGAGAGAGAGCACGCAACCGCACATGTGCATGGGCGGGGAGGGGGAAACAGAGGGAGAGAGAGAACCCCATGCAAGCTCCACGCTCAGCATGGAGCCCAATGTGAGGCTCGATCTTGTGACCTGAGATCTTCTCTAAAGTTATACATGTTTGTCATAAGAAATTCAAACAGTACAGAGGGTAAAAAGTGAAGAGACTTTTCTACAGAAAGGACTTAAGTTTCTCATTGATCTTCCCACACATTTTCTTTTCTATATACATGCACTTTAATGACTTTTTTTAACTGTTCAGACTGTTTTAGGTTGCATCACCACTGTAATTCTCACTTTTTCATCAAAATCCTTGTATTCAGGGGCGCTTGGGTGGCTCAGTCAGTTAAGCATCTGACTCTTGATCTCAGCTCAGGTCTTGATGTCAGGGGTGTGAGTTCAAGACCCACGTTGGGCTCCACGCTGGGTGTGGAGCCTACTTAAAAAAAAAAAAAATCGGGGCGCCTGGGTTGCTCAGTCGTTAAGCATCCGCCTTCGGCTCAGGTCATGATCCCAGGATTCTGGGATCGAGCCTGCGGGGCTCTCTCCTCAGCGGGATGCCTACTTCTCCCTCTCCCACTCCCCCTGTTTGTGTTCCCTTTCTCGCTGTCTTCTGTCAAGTAAATAAATAAAATCCTAAAAAAAAATAAATAAAATTTAAAAATCCTTGTATTTAGTGTGGGTTTTAAAACTAATCGCTAGAGGGGGCGCCTGGGTGGCTCAGTCGGTTAAGCGACTGCCTTCAACTCAGGTCATGATCCCAGTGTTCTGGGATGGAGCCCCACATCAGGCTCTCTGCCAGCGGGAGCCTGCTTCTCCCTTTCCTTCTGTCTGCCGCTCCCCCTGCTTGTACTCTCTCTCTCTCTCTCTGTCAAATAAATAAAATCTTCAAAAAATATATTTAAAAAAATTTTAAAAACCTGCTAGATTATTCAGAAAGCCTTTAGTCAAGACATGGGTAGAACTGGAGGGGATTATGCTAAGTGAAATAAGTCAAGCAGAGAAAGACAATTACATGGTTTCACTCATGTGGAACATAAGGAATCACGGAGGACCACAGGGGAAGGGAGGGAAAACTGGGAAGAAATCAGAGGAGGAGACAAACCATGAGAGACTCTGGACTCTGGGAAACAAACTGAGGGTTACAGAAGGGAGGGGTGGGGGGACAGAGTAACCGGGTGATGGGAGGAGGGCAGGTGTTGTGATGAGCACTGGGTGTTATATGCAACTAATGAATCGTTTAACACTATATCAAAAACGATGTACTATATGTTGGCTAACTGAACATAAAAAAAAAGCCTATGATCAAGGGATAGCATTTTCATGGAAATTATCTCCAGTTTAGTAGTTACATTTGTAGATGTCCACAGACTGGGACTGTTTTAGAGAATAGCTTTGGCAAGTGTTAAAATAATGTGTCTATTTTATCTTCTGGATAGAAGGTGTCTACTTAATTCATTTGCTGAAGGTGCTTCATACTCTTTTTCATCTAAGTTATGTGTTTATATAGGTGTAAGGTTGTCAGAATAAGATGGCATGGGGGCACCTTCATGGCTCAGTCAGTTAAGCATCTGACTCTTGATTTTGGCTCAGATCATCATCTCAGGGTCATGGGATCTGAGCCCTGCATGGGGCTCCCCACTCAGTGGGGAGTCTGCTTCTCCGCTCTTCCCCCCACTCATACATGCACGCTCTCTCTTAAATAAATAAATAAAATCTTTAAAATAAAAAAATAAGTAAGATGGTGTGCAGTTTTCCTGCCTTTTAAAGCTATGTAATTTAGTTTTTTGTGTTTGGCACAATTTAATAAACTGAGAAACAGTAAACTCTGAAGTATATAATGGACTAGTTTCTAGAGGACATGCAGACTGGAATTATAAGAAATTACTTTTTCCCCTTATTTGAAGAAGATCTGGTGATTATGCTGATATTGCCTGTTCTTTTTATAGGAGAGGTGTTTGAAATTGAAGAGCACATCAGTGAACGACAGGCCGAAGTGTTAGCCGAGTTTGAGAGAAGAAAGCGAGCCCGGCAAATCAATGTTTCCACTGATGACTCAGAGGTCAAGGCTTGCCTTAGAGCCTTGGGAGAGCCCATCACACTTTTTGGAGAGGGTCCTGCTGAAAGAAGAGAAAGGTGTCCTTTCTAAATATTTGATCTCTTTTTTAATCACAAAGTTCTACTTTGAAATTTCTGTTGATACTTGTAGCTAAGACTTTAATGGAATGTCTCAGGTAATGTTAATAGAATATCTAAGTTGTTTTTATATAGTTTAGCCCATGATCTGAGTAGACCAATTTTTTACTCCACTACTAATTTTTCTTTATAAACTATGAATAGGGTGTTAACATGAGAACCCTCTCTCCCCAATATGGAATTGTGAGTTGAGTAAATATGTGTTGTCGAACTTTGAAAATTTAGACAACACACACGTTCCCCTTGTCAGTGTCATAAAACATAATGATAAGTATTTGGGGTTATTACCGAAAAGGGGCACTTTCCTCAGATGATACTCCTCTTGTGATTTTATGGTTTCAGAGTCTCTTAGTGACGGCTAATCATACACAGTGATGAGGACCTCCTTTGTCTTTCTGTCCACAGTCCCATCTCTCCCTTTCATCATTTTTTTCCTTATTTGCATAGTCTGCACATTTAATCACTTTAAAACCTCTACCATATCTCATGTCCATTAAGTAGAACCAGTAATGCTGGGCCTGTTTAAATTACAAGAAAAAAAAAACCACTGTACCAACCTAGTATCTTACAAACCCAGCCTGGCTGGCCACAAGGCTTGGGGAGGGTAGGAGAGGAGGGGGCACCCCTGGGCAGTGGCTGGGTGGCAGGAAGGGCTAAAGGACAGAAAGAAAAGGGGGCTCCCAGATGGGAGGGGACTGGTTGTCCTAATAGGGGTGGGGTGCAAAAGGTACTTCAGAAGAGTGGAACTTGGGGAGTGGACAGGTCAGTGCTTTCTCCACCAGAGCACAGTGTTGGAGGAGGTGCTCCATGCCACCGTCTGCCTAACCCTGGCAGTTGGAGAACAGTGACCCATGAGCCCTGGGCATGACGAGCCCCTCTGAGACATGAATGACAGCCTGCCCCTCCTGCCATGGTCCCCTTTTCCTTGAGGATCATCTACTCCTCACTTAGTGCACTGACTCTCTTCGGGCCCTTACCCCTCATTTGCTCTTCAGCCTGCTGCAAACTGACCACTGCCACATCGAAATTGCTCTTTATTAAGGTCACTAACTCCTCTTTACTAAGAATGGCCCTGTCAGCCACTCCCTCCTTGAAAACACTCCCTTTCATAAAACCAAGTCTAAATTTCACTCCTATTTCTCTGGCTAATTCTTCTGAGCCCCATTTTTCCCCTGCCCAACCTTTATATAAATTGTAGTTTTTGCCCTTATTCCGCACTCATCCTGGGCAATCAGATCCACTCCGATGGCATCATTTACTGTGTATATTCTGTTGACTCCCAGATCTCTGTGGCCTAGATATCCTGTAGGTACTTCAAACTGGACATGTCTAGATTGAACTCATCTGTTTCCCACCTTCTATTCTCCTTGCAAATAACACTACCATTCACAGGTTTCAGTTGCCTCACCTCCTTTGTAATCCATCAGCAAAATCTGTTTCTAGATTTGTACCGAAATGTACCTCCGGTGTGTCCTCTTTTCTCTGCCTTAATTGCTTTCACACCTAGATTGTTGTAATAGCCCCAAACACGTTGTGTTAATTGCTTGCTTAAAATCCATCAGTGTCTTCTTATTAAACATAGAGTAAAAAACTGTTGATCATGCTCTTCAACCTCTAATGTCACTCTTTCCCAATTTACTAGACTTAGTACCCTTAAGGGTCTTCCTGGAATAGTAAAACTCTTTTTCTGTTTTTTCCATTTAATTTTTTTCTCTTTTTGTTCCCCTCTCTTGCCTTTAAAGCCTTTTTATTCTTTTGGTTTCAGCATAAATACCACCTTCTCAAAGAAGACTTTTATCATCCCTGCTCAGTAGGGAGTCTGCTTCTCCCTCTCCCACTCCCCCTGCTTGTGTTCCCTCTCTCGCTGTGTCTCTTTCTCTCAAATAAATAAATCTTAAAAAAAAAAGAGACGATTCCTAAATAGTAGGTTGATTTCCCTACTTTTATTATTCCCTCTTCAATCCATTGTCTCTCTCTACTTCCCCAGGGTATCTTTCTCAAATGTAAACCCTCCTTACTACTACTACTACTCCTGACTACTCTTTATGACCTGGCCCCTACTTACATTTGCAGCCCTCTCTCTCACCAGCCCTTCTCTGGTGCTCCAGGCTCCAGCCACATTGAAATATTTGCGATTCCAAGCTCACCATGCTTTTCTTACTTTCAGACCTTTACATCTGTTGAACCCTCTGCTTCAGCTGTCCTTCTCCATTCTTGATCTATCAACCTTACTAAATGAGGACTCAGTTCAGGAAACACCTCCTCTGTGAAACCTTCCCTGGTCCTCCCTGCAAGCCTAGGTTAGGTATTTTTTTTATGTTCCCCCTTAGTGCCCAGTACATACCATTGTCATAATACTTAGTATAATGTATTGTGGTTCCCTGGTACTTTCTGTCCACCCACCTTCTCCACCGCCCTCCTCCCCTCTACCAGGATTATGCTAACTTGGGATCAAGAACTGCTTCTTAGTCATTTTCGTACACCTAGCACCTCAGTCAGTATCCGGCACATAGTGGCATTGAACAAAGATTGGCTGTATTCACAGACCAGGTGGTAGTAGTGTTGGGGCTAGTTGACTCTAAATTGAATAGGATAATTGCTTATAGTTCTAATTAGGGAATCTTCAAATAAGACTGAGTGAATGAAATCACACTGGAGGTGCACCTGGCTGGTTCAGTCAGAAGAGCATATGACTCTTGATCTTAGGGTTGTGAGTTCCAGCCTCACACTGAGTGTAGAGGTTACTTAAAAAAAAAAAAAAAAAAAGAAATTAAAAAAAATAAGAAATCACAGTGGGAGTTTAGGCATGACAACTTGACTCTTAAAGAAGGTTGCTTGGCGTTTAAATGGTGAGAGAATAGGACAAGCTTTCTCTTCTTAGACACACTTCACAGTCTAATCTCGACTCCATTTAAATTATAATCTTTTTTGTTACAGGTTAAGAAATATCCTCTCAGTGGTTGGTACTGATGCCTTAAAAAAGACCAAAAAAGATGATGAGAAATCTAAGAAGTCCAAAGAAGAGGTAAAATATGTCTTTGGTTTCACAGTATGAAAGTGAAGGAAATGAGGGGTGCTCTCATTTTCTTTTGCCAGGTTTTGCTTTGCCAGGGGGAAGGGAATGTGTTTGAGGATTCCACCATTCAGGAATAGTTGTTGGGAATAGTTTGTGGTTCCTATGTAGGTGTAAGTGGGTTTCCCATTCAGGAAAAAAAACATAGGGTTCCTGGTGTAACTTTTAACAAGGAACAGGAAGCCATCCAATAAGAGTTCATAAGAACAGTAGAAAGCACACATGGCTGATTTCATCCTATTACTGAACTATTTCACCTTTTTTTCTGGGCAGTTACAATAGAGAGTTGACAGCTATGAGAGGGGCAGGAATGCTTCAGACTTAACATTTCTGCTCTTAATTTCACTTTCAGTATCAGCAAACCTGGTACCATGAAGGACCAAACAGCCTGAAGGTCGCTAGACTATGGATTGCTAATTATTCACTGCCCAGGTAAAGAGAGCCTCTAGAAGGAGAAAGAAGCATATTTTTTCTTGTTTTCTCTCAAGGACTGAGGATCTGTTTTAGAAAGACTGGTTAAATGAAAATTGAGTATTAGGGATACTCTATGGACCTTTTTCTCAACCTGTTTGCTCATGGTAATCATCTGTGTCACAGGGCAATGAAACGCTTGGAAGAGGCTCGTCTCCATAAAGAGATTCCTGAGACAACCAGGACCTCCCAGATGCAAGAGCTGCACAAATCTCTCCGGGTAAGATGCTTTCAGTGATTGCCCAATATAGTAAGGGCTTTTAAATAGTCATTAGATTTCCTACTTTGGCCTGCCTCTTGGAAGGTAAAGGCAGCTATGATTATCCCTCCCTGCTTACACTTGCTGTTTGAGAAGAGCCATCATTTAGGGTGGCAGGAACCTACTGTGGTTGGTACTCAGCAGAGGCCTTTGGTTCTGCTTTTTAATTCCCTTTTAATATGTCAAAGCTGTACTTTAGCTCTCTCCGTGGCTTTCCTGTGTAAGTTGAGCTGACAGCAAAAGTAATGACACTACTAGTGTAAAAGACAGCATGCTGGAGTTCCATTCATGAACATAAGTGTCTCTTAACAACAAGAGAAGTATAGGGGCGCCTGGGTGGCTCAGTCGTTAAGCATCTGCCTTCGGCTCAGGTCATGATCCCAGGGTCCTGGGATCGAGCCCCGCATCGAGCTCCCTGCTCCGCGGGAAGCCTGCTTCTCCCTCTCCCACTCCCCCTGCTTGTGTTCCCTCTCTCGCTGTGTCTCTCTCTGTCAGATGAATAAATAAAATCTTTAAAAAAAAAAAAAAAACGAGAAGTATAGAAGAATCTTGGGGGGTGGGCTAAAACTAGAAAGTTGGGTCTTTTTGGGATTAGCCTATTAATGATTACTATTTGTCCCTTTTTTCCTTTTTTTAAGTCTTTGAATAATTTCTGCAGTCAGATTGGGGATGATCGGCCTATCTCCTACTGCCACTTTAGTCCTAATTCCAAAATGCTGGCCACAGCTTGTTGGTAAGTCCTGTTTTTACAGTGATATTTTTCCTAAGTGGAGGACAGGTTCAGGGTAAAAAGAAAAAACCAGCTTTTGTCTTAGATGCTCATTTCTGTGTCCTTTCTCTGGTTCTCATGATCGCACCAAACTAGAGATGCCAGTTATATTATACACCCGTTATATTATACAAGATAGTCTGCGCTTAGCAGTTCTTTCTATTCATAAGGGACCCCAGAGATCTATGACATGTCAGTCATGTTCTGGACACTAGCATTTTGGAGCAGATACATAGTTTATTGACTGACCAGTTTCCACACCTCAATACGGCTTTTCTTTTTTAGTTAGATAACCCAGACAAGATACTCTGTAAGCTTCAGTTTCCTTATCTGTAAAGTAGGGTGAGATAATGTTGTAAACCATTTTGCCTTAACAGTGCGTGGTATGTGGTTTAAGGACTCAGTAAGCATGAATTATTGTTTTTATCTTTTATTTTCTTTACTAGTTACCACCACATATGCAGAAAGCTCTTAGGATGTGATAACTTTGTTGTTTTGCTCTATTTAGTTATTTTTGTGGGACATGGCCATCTAGTGACAAGGGAAGCTTCTTTATGTTGTATGCACAGGAACTACTTGACTGGGTAGAAATTGAGATTGGGTCAGGAGAAAGCCAAGGACCTACTCAAATCCTTCCACCTCTGCAAGCCGTAGAAATGGTCGTTCCTACATATTTACCTCCCAGATCTCCTATAAGGATCATTTGAATTGTTAGATATAAAAGTAATTTGTTGGAAATTTTCTGAAATAAAAAGTCTTTTTAAAAAAATTTACTTTGTAAACAGAAAATGCTATTCCTATTTAAGGAGATAATATTATTCTTGGATAGTTTAATTCGTCCTACCTTCTTTCACCAATCAATCCAAACGTTAGGGAGAATAACAACTTGTACTATATTAACTGTAGTCCTGTAGAGGCATCTGGTTGCATGAGATGTGGGTGCAGCTTTCTTCTATAAACCATCAAATCGTAAGCCCTTTAGTTTTCTTTTTCTGTGTACCACTGTAAAGTTTATTGGGGTGAGAAGAGATTGTCCTTTAGGAATGTTATCAAGGTACCTTTTCCTTCCCAGACCAACCCTGGCTTAGATGCTTTCCTTTGTATTTGATAGGAGTGGGCTTTGCAAGCTCTGGTCTGTTCCTGATTGCAACCTCCTTCACACTCTCCGAGGTGAGTTAGAATCTTGTTTAAATCTCACTCGTGGGCAACCCTGTCGGGACTCCTCTCACCCTTGAGAGCTTTTTCTGTATCTTCACTTAATAAACTTCTGTTGCTTTACTCACAAACAAATAAATAATAAATCTCATTTTCCCAGTGTGAACCCTGTCAAACAGCAAAACTATACTAATCTGCCTGACACTCAGACCCAGTACACACAAGATTAATTCTTCTTCTTCTTTTTTTTTTTTTAAGATTTTATTTATTTGAGGGAGAGAGAGAAAGAGAGAGAGCACAAGCAGGGTGAAGGGCAGAGGGAGAAGCAGACTCCCTGCTGAGCAGGGAGCCTGATGCGGGACTTGATCCTGGAACTCCAGGATCATAACCTGAGCCAAAGGCAGACGCTTAACCAACTGAGCCACCCAGGTTGCCCCAACACAAGATTAATTCTTGATTCAAATTGTCTTGGTTTGGTTCTCACCACAAAGCTGGAAGACAGTGAGTTTATATACAAATCACTTTTCTCTCATGTCCAGCCCCATTCTGGCATTGTGCAATCTCTGAACCAAAAAAAGTAAAGGTGGTTTGTGTTTTGCTCTTTTTAATGTAATTAAAATTTTTTTTTTTTAAAGATTTTATTTATTCATGAGAGAGGGAGAGAGAGAAGCAGAGGGAGAAGCAGACTTCCCGCAGAGCAGGGAGCCCAATGCGGGACTCGATCCCAGGACTGGGATCATGACCTGAGCCGAAGGCAGACGCTTAACCATCTGAGCCACCCAGGCGCCCCTGTAATTTAAATATTAATTTAAAATAGCTCTTTTTTTTTTTAATAGTTCAGCAGTCACTTTAATACCCTATCTGTCCACATGTTCCCTAATATATATTGTGTTAATTCATCATAGTCTGTTTTGCACATAAATTGTAAGGGGTGGGAAACCTTTAACTTTGATTTCTTACACTCCTTCAGGCCATAACACAAATGTAGGAGCAATTGTATTCCATCCAAAATCCACTGTCTCCTTGGACCAGAAAGATGTCAATCTGGCCTCTTGTGCTGCAGATGGTTCTGTGAAGCTTTGGAGCCTTGACAGGTGAACATGACTCTTCTGCCCATACTGCGGTCACTAAAGAGTTGCTTGGTTGGTCCTTGGGACCTGAGAATCTGGCATCTAACCCCAGAGATGGTCTAAGAGTCAAGGGAACTTGGTGTGACCATAGAATGTAGGATTTCTTTCTTTGACCTTTTCTCGACAGAGGAGTTATGTTAGGTTTTTCTTATTTTTTAACTTTGGACCTTGATTTTTGCCTCTAACATAGTAGCCATTGTTTTCCCAGTCCAGTTATTCTGGAAAGATCTATTTACACTTCCTGTGCAATACACTGACTTGGAGAAAAGCCCTAGTTGGTAGATTGAGTAAAGATAATATTCTTGGCAGCACATTGGCTCCTAGCAAACGGCCACAGGGGAGAGGACAGTGAAGTTCTGAGGCAATATTGCTAAGGATGTGATGTCTCCTCCCAACAGCTTCCTCCTTTACCTAGAACATATTTTCCCATTACAGCAGTTTGGGGGTTTTTAATGTGTTTATGATTATTGTTTTCCAGGAAATTTGTGAAAGCTCTTTGTTGGCTAAAAGAAATCTAAATTCAGTTGCTTAGTTTTCTTTCTTTGGGAAAGCACATGCGACTTTTCTGCCAGGTTTTTGTACAGAGCTAATTAGCATCTGTACTCTTTGCCAGACAGGGTCTTACCTCTGAGCACAGCAAGTTTTAATTGGCTTTGGTATCACTTAGCAATATTTGTTCCCCTAGGACTTTGATTAGCTCTATGTATGCACATTGACAAAGTTCCCTTTTTAATTGCCCTCTTTAGGGTTCGTGTTTACTTCCTTTCACTGGTGTTTCAATTCTTTTTTCTGTGGTTGCTGGGGAGTAGAATTTATGGCCACCAAAGGAAACTAAGCCTCTATTTAGGAGTTCCTTTTTTCGTGTGCATCCTTCAACAAGCTAAAGTTTGAGATAAATTTATCTGTAATCCACTTGTACCAAAACTATTTGTTTGTTTTTTTAAAGATTTTATTTATTTATTTATTAGAGAGCGAGTGAGAGAGAAACAGCATGAGAGAGGAGAGGGTCAGAGGGAGAAGCAGGCTCCCCGCTGAGCCGGGAGCCCGATGTGGGACTCGATCCCAGGACCCTGGGATCATGACCTGAGCCGAAGGCAGTCGCTTAACCAACTGAGCCACCCAGGCACCCCGTACCAAAACTATTTGATTTCTGTAGCTTCACATCCCTATTAAAATATGTTTTCTTTCTAAATCTCAGCACTCCTTTGGTGTATATTTTGCTTGTCAGGCTGAATTATCTTTTATTTTTCTCTAATCCCAAATGATAATAGCATTAAGCATTGATTAACATACTGAATTGAGATATAGCAAGATAGTGTGTATTGAAGTGCTGTGGGCAGTTTTGCCCTGTGAGCACATGAAATAGTCCCAAATCTTTTAAGACTTTGGAAGGCAGCTGTGCTCACCAGTATATCACCAACGCTCTTTTAAGACTTTGGGAAGTAACAAATTGTTAACCCTGCATTTTTAACAGTGAGTTTAGTTAGGATTTGGCCTTTTAAATCCTACAGAACGGGTGCATTTGTCACAATAGTTAATAAATTCAATGAATATTTATGACTATAAAATAGTTTACTCCTTTCTATTTGGTTCTTTTTCAGTGATGAACCAGTGGCGGATATTGAAGGCCATACAGTGCGTGTGGCCCGTGTAATGTGGCATCCATCGGGGCGTTTCTTGGGCACCACCTGGTAAGCCATCCTCTTATTGTTCTATCCATACAGGCCTGTGGCATCTTGTTAACCCCTTATGACTGACGGCCAAGGAAATTTTAAGAACAGAGATCTTCAAGTAGGATTTTCTTGGGCTGCAATGAATCAGAATCAGAAGAGAGTATATGATAAAGTTTGGGCCAACTGTATTTGCTTTTAAACTGCAGTTAATCTGAAATTTCAGTTACTAATTGCCAGAAAACTAGAATTTTCACTCTTCTCTTTCTTGACCAATACTAGTGGTGTTTTGTGCTTTTTTTGGTTTTTGTTTTTTTCCACCACACATTGTATTTTAATCTCTCTGCTTACAAGTTGGTCTCCCTTTCTGGGGCACCTGGCTGGTTCATTCAATAGAGCCTGCAGCTCTTGATCTTGGGGTTGTTAAGTTCAAGGCCCACCTTGGGTGTAGAGATTACTTAAAAATAAAATCTTTAAAAAAATTAAAAAACAAATCGGTCTCCCCTTCCGGTTCTGTAAGCTCATTAAGGCCAGAAGCTGTTAAAGATTTTTTTTTTTTTTGGTAAAAGATTTTATTTATTTATTTGAGAGAAGAGAGCACAAGCAAGGGGAGAGGCAGAGGGAGAGTGAGAAGCAGACTCCCCACTGAGCAGGGAGCCTGACCTGGGGCTTGATCCCAGGACACTGGGATCATGACCTGAGCCGAAGGCAGACTCTTAAAAGAACTGAGCCCCCCAGTGCCCCAAGAATTTTTTTTTTTTAAGATTGTATTTATTTGAGAGAGCGCAGGTGGGGGAAGGAGCAGAGGGAGAGGGACAAGCAGACTTCCCGCTGAGTGCAGAGCCCAATGCGGGGCCTGATCTCAAGACCCTGAGATCATCAACTGAGCGGGAACCAAGAGTCAGATGCTTATCTGACTGAGCCACGTAGGCACCCTGTTAAAGAACTCTTTAACTGAGATATAATTTACATGCAGTGGAATAGATTTCAGTGTACAATTCAAATGCATACACTCATAACCCACATCCCTATCAATAGAATATTTCCATCACCCTGGAATGTTCCGTCATGCCCCTTCACAGGGGACTCCCCCTTCCAAAGCAACCACTGATATGATTTCTATCACTGTAAATTAATTCTGTCTGTTCATACTGTGTGAACTTGTTTGTGCCTAACTTCTTTTGCTCAGCATAATGTTTTTAAGATTCATTCAGGGGCACCTGGGTGGCTCAGTCGGTTGAGCATCTGACTCTTCCTTTTGGCTCAGGTCATGATCTCAGGGTCATGAGACTGAGCCCCTGCATCGGGCTCCATGCCGGACGTGGAGCCTGCCTGAGATTCTCTAACACTCTCTCTCTTTCCCCCTCTCTCTGAAAGGAAAAAAAAAAAAGGTTCATTTATGTTGTTGCATGTATCAGTAGTTCTTTTTTATTGCTGAGTATTCAGTTGTATGGCTCTGCCACAGCTTATCCATTCTCCTTTGATAGACATTTGGGCTGTTTCCAGGTTTGGGTCAGTCAGAATAAAGGTGCTATAAATACTCTTGCACAATGCTTTTATTTTATTTTTTTTAAAGATTATTTATTTATTTGACAGAGACACAGCAAGAGAGGGAACACAAGCAGGGAGAGTGGGAGAGGAGAAGCAGGCTTCCCGCAGAGCAGGGAGCCTGATGCGGGGCTTGATCCCAGGACCCTGGGATCATGACCTGAGCCGAAGGCAGACGCTTAACGACCAAGCCACCCAGGCGCCCCTTGTACAGTGCTTTTTGCAGACATGTTTTTCTTTACTTTCTCTTGAATGAATACCCAGGAATGCAGTTGCTAGGTCATAGAGTAAATGTATTTTTAACTTTTTTAAAACTTCCATATGGTTTTTCAGATTGGTTGTAAGTTTTACATTCCCAGAATTCTGCTTGCTTCACATCCATGCCAGCATTTGATGGTGTCAGTTTTATCATTCTGCCTATTCTATCAAGTGCATGGTGAAATTTCATAGTTTCAATTTTTATTACTCTTATGACTCTCTTGGTATTGAGTATTTTATCCTCTGCTTATTGACCATTGACCATTTGTAAATCCTCTTTTGTGCGGTGTCCGGATGCTTTACCTATTTTTTTTAATTGAGGTTTTTTTTTTTTTCCTTTATTCTCACACACAGTTCTACCACCATGTATTTATTTGTTTATTTATTTGAGGTTTATTGAGGTGGGTTTTTTTGTTTGTTTTTATTTCAGGGATGCCTAGGTGGCTCAGTCAGTTGAGCATCTGACTCTTGATTTTAGCTCAGGTCATGATCTCAGGGTCGTGAGATTGAGCCCCATAACGGGCTCCATGCTCAGCGTGGAGTTTGCTGAAGATTCTTTCCCTGGGCCCCTGGGCAGTGCAGTCGGTTGAATGTCCGACTCTTGGTTTTGGCTCAGGTCATGATCTTGGGGTTATGGGATTGAGCCCCAAGTCAGGCTCATGGAGGAGTCTGCTGGAGTTTATCTCTCCCTCTCCTGCTGTGTTCTCTCTCTCTTTCAAATAAATCTTTAAAAAAAAAAAAAAAAAAGATTCTCTCCCTCCCCCCCATACTTTTTCCTCTTTAAATAAGTAAATAAATAAAATGTAAGTTTTATTTAAGTAATCTCTACACCCAACATGGAGCTCAAACTCATGACCATGAGATCAGCCTCATGCTCCACCAGCTGAGCCAGCCAGGCGTCCCTCTACCACCGATTATTGAAGAGACTTCGTTTTCCCTGTTGAAATTGCTTTAGTGGCCTCATTAAAAATAATTTGACCAAAAATGTGTGGGTCTCTTCCTATACTCTCTTCATCTGTTGCATTAATCTATTTGCTCATGACTGATTTTTGTATCCCCAACATCCAATTTGAAGGCCCAACAAATACTCAGTGAGTGAAAGGACTTAACAGTGGAATTGAGAAAGAAAGAAGGCAACAGTCTCTGCTGGCCCATTCTGAGAGAACTGTATTCTTAAAATAGCCACTGAAATAAATTTATAGGAAGTCCATGGTTTTCCAGGTAGCACTCAAGACAGATATGCTTAGTTGTTGAGGTATTTTTTTATGCCAGAAAAGAATTTGATAGTATGGTTGTATGAATAGTTTCAGAAGCATAATTTTTTTTAAAAGATTGTATTTATTTATTTGACAGAGTGAGCACAAGCAGGGGGAGCGGCAGGGAGAGGGAGAGGGAGAAGCAAGCTCCCCTTGGAGCGGGGAGCCCGATGCAGGGCTCAATCCAGGGACCCTGGGATCATGACCTGAGTTGAAGGCAGACACTTAATCGGCTGAGCCACCCAGGCGCCTCATCAGAAGCATAATACAAGCTACAAGTGTTTATAGTACTTTACACATTGTAGGAACTGAATATCTGCTGGCTAATTGTTGGTTTGATTTTTTTTGTAGCTATGACCGCTCATGGCGCTTATGGGATTTGGAGGCTCAAGAGGAGATCCTGCATCAGGAAGGCCACAGCATGGGTGTGTATGACATTGCCTTCCATCAAGATGGCTCTTTGGCTGGCACTGGGTAAGCCTTCTTCCACCTAGCCAGGGGCAGCTCAGTAGTTCACCTGTTATGTATCCCTGCTTCCAGGAGAAATGGATTCAGAATGTTCATTTATAAATTACTTTGTCAGGGGACTGGATGCATTTGGTCGTGTTTGGGACCTGCGCACAGGACGGTGTATCATGTTCTTAGAAGGCCACCTGAAGGAAATCTATGGAATAAATTTCTCCCCCAATGGGTAAAATGAACTCATTGATTAAGGGGTGGGAAGGGTTATTGGTCAGAGATAAAAAGAATATATCTTTGTTTCTAATTTGGACACTATATCTGATCCACAGGTACCACATTGCAACTGGCAGTGGTGACAACACGTGCAAAGTGTGGGACCTTCGACAACGGCGTTGTGTCTATACCATCCCTGCCCATCAGAACTTAGTGACTGGTGTCAAGTTTGAGCGTAAGCTTTCCTCCTGTTTTGCCTAATCACAGGACAGATAGATTGAACTTCCATGGAATGCAGGCCAGGCTTTAGGTTAACTTACAAGTGGAACAAGAGAGAATTTGGTCTCTGTTGAAAAAGGAGCACATTATAAGTTCTTTCCCTCTACCATATTTTCACATAGAGCTATGGCACAGCATGCTTCTTGTTTTAGGAAGTAAAGAAGACTTCCATAAGTGCTTTTTTCTCCTGAAAGTTGTAAGCACTGAATCCTTAATGTTATTCTAAAAAAACTGTCAGGGAAAGAGCCAGAAGACCTTAATAATGTTATTCGTTTCCCTAAGCGTGTAGTCCCTTTTTCCTGGAGGTCTCGTAGGAATGTAGATGGGAATATTGGGCTTTTCCAAATGGAGAAATATCTTCTTTTTTGAAATCATATATTCTAGCAGATTTTTGTGCTTTCATTTTCTTTCCTCTTTTGATACTTGAATTCCTCAAGCAGCTCCCCTTCTTTTCTCTTAAAGCTATCCATGGGAATTTCTTGCTCACTGGTGCTTATGATAACACCGCCAAGATCTGGACCCACCCAGGCTGGTCACCACTGAAGACTCTGGCTGGCCATGAAGGCAAAGTGATGGGCCTAGACATTTCTTCCGATGGGCAGCTCATAGCCACTTGCTCATATGACAGGACCTTCAAGCTCTGGATGGCTGAATAGGCAGGGCCATGGAAAAAGGACTCTAACCTCAAGCTCTTCCGTAAGAGCCATTTTCAAAAGAAAGGAATTGATATGTTTCGTTCTGTCATGTTTTTTGCCAATTACCATGTATAGACCCTCAAAAGAATTGGATTTCCATGTCAGCTTCCACTCCAGGTAGGCAGCCCAGTCTCTTGGTGTTGATGAACCCCTTTTGTAGTTGAAATTTTTATTTTCATCTTCAAGCCCTGCCACGGACTGTGTAGACATTGTTTTTATTAATCTTTTGTTTGAATGCCCTGTTGCCTCCTTCACAGCACTCAGGATTGTGACTGGCTCCATTTTTACTTTTGAAACTTGGCTTTCCATTACGTGGTACGTGCTTCAGGACTGCATGTGACCCACAGAGCAAGCAGCTGCACTATAGTCTGGAAGCCCTCGAGTAAAGAGGCACTTCTCACCACACACCTGGTTAACCAGTGCCTTGACAGTGCGAACCTTTCCTCTGCCTTTAGAACAGGAGATGAAGAGGTAGACTACAGCTATGCTCAGGGTTATGCAGTAAAGAAGATTTTACCTCTTCCTGTTGAGTTTGCTTGGAATGCTAACTGCATCAGGAAGCTCAGAACTGAACGTTTGCCCTGTCTGAAAATGTCTTCCATTTTGCTTTGAAGTTTGGCATCCTTTGTGTTACCCCAAAGCTAGGCCATTGTGTCAAGAGGCAATGAAATTTCTAGAAAGCAAACATGAAGTCTCTGTTGTGCCACGTCCTTTGTATTGGTTATTAAGAGGATGTACCTTTCATGGCAGGGTAACCGGGAAAAATCCCTCATGGGTATTCGTCAACGTCAACTTTCTTTTTTTCTTTATTACGCACTTGCTACAGAGTAAAATCCTATTATAAAAAAAATGTCCTTTAAAGACTTACTTTGTATAGTTAGACATTTTCTGAATCCCAGCCATTGGTCCATAGAGGTTCCTGCCCCCTTTTTTTTGTTTGAGATATAACGGTTGATACCAGATATGGCTTATTCCAGTTTTTCTTTTCTTAATAAGCACTCCGCTAATAGGTTTTTGGTTTGTTTTTTTTTTTTTTTTGTAGAGACTACTGCCTTGTGGGCCAGACTATTGGCAAACTGGGTCTGGACTCTGTAATTCATACTCATTGGCCGTGCAGCAGTCACCTTCATCTCTTTCCACCCAAAATACACAACCACTGAACATGAAGTACACAGTAAATTCTGACAAAAATACAGGAATTTGGAAGAAGAAAGGATTGCATATAGAGAAGTGGAGAAGGGCTTATATGATGGCTTTTCCTTGAATGTTCAAAACACTTCATTTGCTGATCCAGAGAGGCTGACAGTGGCTTTGTCTAATAACTATCCTGCAAACTATGAATGTGTGATAATATAGCTAAACTCTTTTGTCTAATTTTAATTATAACCAAATAGTTGCATATTTTGAGTCCCGGTTAAGCTTCTGAATTATCGGCTCTGCCCCCTGTTGGGCATTTGGCACTTCGTTATTGTTTAAGTATTAATGGGTTTTATTTCCTCCATAGTTAGCCGTGAAAAATAATTTTTCATTACTAACTTTTGTAGTATGTGTAAAGTAATAGTTAACATTAGTGTATTAGCATGCAATCTGCATATAGTGTATTAACAAAGGTTTTAAGTTTGTCAAGTTTACATTTTACTAGTAGTTCCGTTAAACTTTTTTTTTTTTTTTTTGTGGTTGTTCCAAGAGATTTAGAGGTAGCAATCAGGTGAACACATTTCATGTAAGCTTTTGGCAAAACAGTTCCCTTGTGAAATATACATTATTTCATTGTAAGGAGGCAGTTAGCTGAGAAGCATAAACCAAATACAGCATTTCATAATAATAGTGAGAATCAGAGCCACCACTTAAAAGGACACTTCCTGCCTACAGACTTTGCCAGGCATGTTCAGACACTTCATCTAATCCTCCCAGTCTTCTGAGTTAAGTCGTATTCCCTTTTTACAGACAAAATCGAAGCTCAGAGAAGTTAAGTAACTTGCTCAGGGCTACCCTGTCAGTGAGTGATGGAGCCTGGTCTGTCTGTGTGTCTGTGACCTTAGGAAGAGATTTCATAGGGATTTACTGAGTATGTTGGCAGCACTGGCCAGACAGAATGACCAGTCCAGCCAGTGTGGCCTGTTTCCCATACAAAGCCAGAGCTTTTTAGCCCCTCTGCCTGTGACCCCTCCCTTGTGATGAGTCTGCATCTCAGTCTGACTTCATGCCAGAGGGGGTCCCGGGACTTCACCACCTCTACCCCATGAACTAGTAAGGCGCCTGTACGGTCACTCAGCAGGAAACTTCGCATCTTGGGATGGATGTTTTGTTGTGTGGAACTGTCCTAAGCATTGCAGCATGTCTCACCATCCCTGACCTGTAGAGTACTAAAAGCCAGAAGCACAACCCACCCCTTACACCGGAATACCAAAGATGCTTCCAGACATTTCTGCATGCCCCCAGGTTAGAACTACTGAAGGTGAAAATAGAAGACACCCTACTGTTGAGCATATCCTGCCCTACCCCCAAAAAAACTCAAACCTGTATCTTTCCTTATTTGGATGGTATACTAGCCACTCCAAGAGCCACTCCTCAATTCTACTTGGACTAAAAGGCCCCCACCACTTACTGGCTGGTGAGCTGGAACGAGACAGCAAAACCTGTGGAGCCTCAGGTTCACCTGCAGAACACGGATGAAATTTCCTTAACTCAAAGCAGTATGCTCTAGTGCAGCGGCAGGTGTTTCTTCCTGAGCTTCCCCCGGCTCCTCTCCCTCTCCTCATGGCCCAGAGAACATGGGGAGATCATTGCCTAATTTACTTGCCATGATGTTAAGGAGCAAGGATGTGTAAAGAAATGGAAGTCAACAGGGAGAGTTTGAGTCCCAGCTTTAGTGTAATTATCTTCGATGGCGCAAATGGAGAGGTAGGTGTCAGTCCCCTGGCGAGATACATAGGGTGGCATTCCAGTTTTGTAATGGAGAATTTTCTTCACGTTGGTGCTTAACACCATTTGGTCTTAAGAAACATGAAATATAGGTCTTGGCTATTTTGGAATATTTTGTACATTAAGATCCCTTAAGAATTTATAGAAGCTAGTTCCGTTAAGCACAAAATTTTTAAAACAAATAAAACCAACTCCCGTTTCTGACCTCTGAAAGTTTATTCCACAAATCAAGATCCTTTCATCATTCTGATGGTGTTTTAACCACCGTGGGCCACAGGGCAGTATTAAAACTGGGGAAGCAGAAGGGGTTTTAGACAGTGCAGAGGTAGCAACTTGTAGCCGAACAGCTGAAGCATCTAGTTTGCCTTGGTTCTAAGATTCTGTCTTGTAAAATGAAGACCAGGGTCCCCTGTCTGCATGGCCTGGGATGGAAGCTAAGGCTTTTCCTCTGTCCAGGGCTTCTGCTTTATCTCTCAAGGTCAGACAGAATTCCATTGCCTGGAGGAGGGGAGTTGACTCTACCCAACATCCAGGCTTACTTGAGGCCTCTGCACCTACGTACACCTTTTCTCCAAATCTCAGATTTCTTTTGATTTGACTGACCCTGGTTTCTTTGCACCTTTAAACTTTTATATTCTCAACACTCCATAAACCACATACTGACAAGAGGTTGTCTTGTACAAGAAGCAGCCCTCCTTGCTGGTAAAGGCTCTCTGTCACCCATGGATAATCCCACCCTTCTCTTCCCCTAGTTCTGACATAATGTGGGCCAAGTAAGTGGTGGTAGAATGAGTAAGTGCATGAATTCATGAATGCACACCATTTTTTCCTGGGACTGGTGGCAAGACTTCCAAAGAGAAAACAAAGAAGGTATGCACATTTGCTCACGGAATTGAAGCTCACTTCGCAAAATTTTAGCAACACCTATTAAAAAGAGCAGCTCAAATGTGAACCGAGTTCGAAGCAACTCCATTGAGAAACGCAACTTTCTCTTGGGCTAGTCGGGCTCCTGGATACCGTGGTTCAGCCCTTTGGCACAATTTGTTCCGTAGCCCTATAATCAAAGATCTGCTTCTCTGCCCTTCTTGGCCCCGTGGCTCACACCTAGAGGTCTCTTCACATCTTTTCCCAGCCTTTTAGCTTTCAGAGGTTCTCATCATAGTAGGGATCTGTTTGCAGAAGCAAACACGTGGACTAACTGATAGACTAAAAATGAACAATACTACAAAGGAAGACAACCCCAAATGAGGCTGTGCAGTCCCCATCCCCAGCAGCAGTCAAGAAAGGCTTAGATCCAGGGCTCTTGGGTGGCTCAGTCAGTTAAGTGTGTGACTCTCGATTGCTCAGGTCTTGATCACGGGGTTGTGAGTTCAGGTCCCATGTTGGGCTCCACGCTGGGCATGGAGCCTACTTCAAATAATAAGAATTAAAAAAAAAAATTTTTTTTAAAGGCTTGGTTCCTTGTCCAGAAACAGTGCTCACCCCACACCCCAAAGGAATTGCTTGGTCCAAAAGATGGAGAAGATGAGCAACAGAGTGACACTGAGGATAACAGCCATCAGGTAAGAAAAGATCCGGAACTGAGGGTTGCGGAAACACTCCCTCAGAGAGTAGTGGCTGGGGATGGGAATGGGCAGAGACCTGGTGGTAGGGCCCATGTCCTGGGGGGGCCCCGTTTGGCTCCCGGGCTCAGGGCCTAGGTGCAGCGTATAGACCCGGGGCTGGCGCAGGAAGTAGCGGCTCTTGGGCTGGTCCTTGAGACAGAGCTGGTGGCCTTCCAGGATGACGTGGTGGGGCTCCAGGCGAAGCAGGGTGAGCATGGCGGTATCTGTGGGCAAGTCGGTGACCGGCTGCCCAGAGGCCAGCACAGTGGGCTGGCGACAGAGTGGGCACAGCAACTGGCGCCGGGCTGGAGTTACCAGGCTGAGGTGGGCCAGGCACTCCACACAGAAGGAGTGACAACAGTCCAGCACTTTGGGAGTGTGAAATGTGTTGTTGAAGGGGTTCCAGCAGACAGGGCACTCAGGCTCCCGGCCCTGCCGCTCCGCCATCCTCAGATGAGACACCGGGAGGCCTGGCAGGAATGTCCTGGCAGAAGGGGAAAAGGAGCAAAGGGATAACCCGTTGAGCTCCATCCTTGTGCTTGGTCCTAGACTAAGGGTTCTGTGCCTTGTCAAAACATACTGTCACCCATATTTCACAGATGAAAAACTTAGATTCAAAAGATGAAGCAACTTGTTCCAGATCACCAAGTTCCTAAGCTGTAGAGTTAAGTCTGGTGCTCCTGCAGCATCCCCCCTATCAGGGCAAAGGCCTGAGTCACCCCACCATTAATGAACTGGCACTGGAGGGGACTGTACCCCCACTTGGGAAGTGGAAAAAAAAATGCTCCTGCTCCATGCGACTGCCCTTGACTTCTCAGACTCCAGGGAGAGGGAGGGGAGCCAGCCCATCAGTGGTTTGTGCTATAAGACAAATACCTCCTTCTCTGCTGCCTCAAGTCCCTGACTAATGCAGAGATGGCCTTTGTGAATTCCCTGGTCTGTCCCTCCTCTGGGACAAATGCCAGGCCCTCTTTCCCTCCTCCCATTGGGCTATAGGGCCAACCCTCCAGAGCTCATTTGCCCAGTCTTTGTGCAGGGCACTTCACTGGCTTGGCAAGGCTTTTCTCCTTGACCTGGAAGCTTAGAGAGGCTCTCCTGCCCAGGTCCCCAGGTCAGCCCTTCCAGAACCTCCCAATATTTGGCCTCCCCTGGCTCCTCCTCCCTCCCTTTGTCCCCGGAAACCCCAGGGCACTCACCTGGGCTTCCTTGGTACTAGGGTGGTCAGGCAGACTACCTGAAGGACCCGAGGCTCCAGTCTCTCCCTCTCCTGAATCCACACAGCTTCTCTCCACCAGCCATCAGCCCCGGGGCCTGTCTCCATGGCAGCACACACAGAGCACCTGGAGCTGCCAGGTGGCCCGGTCTGCAGCCTCTTGAGCACACCTGCCTGCTGCACAGGCCACAGAGCTGCCTGGGTGGCAGGGGGTGGGGAGGTGGGGGACCAGAGTTCCCCCAGGGTGTGGCAAACAACCAACCATGGAAGCCAAACATCTGCAAGATTGTGGGCGGTCTCTTCAAGACCTGGGATCCATGGCCTAGGAAGGTGGTAGGGGTGGCAATTTCCTTTTTCTAGATTGTGGAGGGGGTAAGTGAGCCTCTGGGCATCTCTCCTGGGCCCTCATTTCTAAGATGGCTAAAACCTCCTTCTAACACAAAGGGGCGGTCCACCCTGCACTTCAATTGCTGTGAAGTTTTTCTGCTACACAGCCTAAAATCTCTGCACCGCAGACTCAGCAAATTTGTTTATTTTTAAGTGACATCTACACCCAGCGTGGGGCTCGAACTCACTACCATGAGATCAAGAGTCACATGGTCCTCTGAGCCAGCCAGGCACCCTCCCTTTCTAATCCTTTAATGTGCCCAAGTAGCTGTAACCATGCAAGTCTTGCTGCCATCTTTGTTCTTAGAACATGGACAATCAACCTGGCAGGCAGTGACCCCTGAGGTCTTAGATGGCCAAAGGTTGGCCATCTCCCCACCCTTGGGGACTTAAAAGAGGGAGTCAGGAAGGAGAGTTCCAGCCCCACTTGCCCTTGTCAACCAGAAACACCTAGCTTTTCTCCTATCCATCACTTGAATTAAGTTGAAGAGTTGAGCTGCTGAGGGGGGAACAACATGTACCAAAGCCCCAAGGTGAAAAAAGGCTCTGCCAGATTCTGGAAGTGAAAGAAGCCTGAGGTGCAGTGGGTGGGGCTGGAGCAGGAAAGTGGCTCAGGAGCGAGCCAGCGAGGGTGGAGGCAGGCCCTAGAAGCTGGGGAGCAAATCGGGATTGAATTCTAGGGATGGGGGTGGGGCTCATCACCTTTTTTTTTTTTTTTTTAAACATTCCATTTTAAAAGCACCATTTCAGGGGTGCTTGGCTGGCTCAGTCAATAGAGCTAGAGCGGCTCTTGATCTCTGGGTTGTGGGTTCGGGCCCCATGTTGGGTGTAGAGATTGCTTAAAAAATAAAATCTTTAGGGTGCCTGGGTGGCTCAGTTGGTTAAGCCTGGAGTCCCAGGATCAAGTCCCGCGTCAGACTTCCTGTTCAGTGGGGAGTCTCCTTCTCCCTGTGACCCCACCCCCTCTCATGCACTCTCTCACTCTCTCAAATAAATAAAATCTTTAATAACAACAACAATACCATTCCAGAGCAGAGAACGACTAAAAAGGACAGAGTGGAAGTAAAAGACGATGAGGGACTTTATTATTCAGGCTGGGATGGTGGTGCTTGACTTAGACAAGGTCATGGCAGAGAAGATCAAAGGGATGGAATAAAAACCATCTCTGGAGATTAAATCAAAAGCACTTCCCAAAAAGCAGTGAACAACATAGGTTCTGGAACCATGTTGTTGAGGCTCATGACCCCAAATGCACTGCTTATCAGGGCTGTGATCCCAGTTGAATTGCTTAGCCTGTGCCTCAGTGTCTTCTGAAGAGGAAAGTAGTATGTCTGAAGGTAAAGCTCTTAGAGCCTGGCGCCCAGCAAAGACTACCTATGAGATGGGCCATTATCCCTGCAAATGGATTTGAGAGACAGGAAAGATCAAGGTTGACCTTGAAGCCATGAGAAAGTTCTCTGCGTTGAGCTTTAAGGAGCTCTGAATTCCAGAGTGTGTCCAAAGCAGACCTTGAGTACTTACCAAAAGCCTTGAAAGGTAATAGCCTTGATCCAGCAGTTCCCCCGCTGGGAATCTGTCCCATGGAAATAATCAAGGACCTGTGCAAAGGCTTGTTGTAGGGATGCCCATAGAAGCGCGGCTCTACCAGTGAAGTATGGAAAACTACATACTCCGTCAACAGTGGGACGTTAATTAAAGACATTCTACTCCAACCACATGAAGAGACATTCTGCAGCTTTTAAAATGATGTGATAAGGGGCACCTGGATGACACGGTTGAATGTCCAGCTCTTGGTTTTGGCTCAGTTCATGGTCATGAGATTGAGCCCTGCGTCAGGCTCCTCGCTCAGCAGGGAATCTGCTTGAGATTCTCTCCTTCTTCCTCTGCCCCTCCCCCTCCCTCTCTCTCAAATAAATAAATAAATCTTTTTCTAAAATGATGTGCTAAAACATCTATTAATATGGAAATATGTTTGTGATATGCAATTAAGCAAAAAGAACCAGTAATAAAACCATATCATGATATTACTCAATTATCCTGCATATGTGTGCCATGGAAAAAATGTTTGGAAAAGCAAACACCAAAATGTCAACAGTGGTTATCTCTGGGAGTAAGATTATAGGTGGATTTTGGTTGTTTGTTTTAAATTCTCTTGTCTGAAAATCCTCTAACTTTACTGTAGTCCAATAAACTTGTATTACTGCCCTTAAAGACCTCCCTCTCCCCGCCAAAAGCAGACCTCACATTTTCTGAAGTTCCATGGCCGAAGCTGTAAAGGGCCCCGTTCAGGAGGAGGAATAATCATTCTTGCCTCAGCACCTGGGCCCTTATCTGCCAGGATCCCCATAGACATCGACTGCTGTTTCCGGTGCAGCAGGGCAGAGTCCATTCTCTCCAGGAGAGACTCTGACCACGTACCCTCCCTCCACCACTCACCCCCCACGCTGTCGCAGCTGCAGTAAGTCCTAGACACCACCCCAAAGGTACCACCTTTGTCTGTGACCAAGTCAGCCAAATATTGTCTATAGCATCACCCCAAAGTTTTTACCCTCGAGAGAGATGAGGAACTAGCATTTTTTTTTAAAAAGATGTATTTATTTGGGGGCGCCTGGGTGGCTCAGTTGGTTGAGCGACTGCCTTCGGCTCAGGTCATGATCCTGGAGTCCCTGGATCGAGTCCCGCATCGGGCTCCCTGCTCGGCAGGGAGCCTGCTTCTGCCTCTGACCCTCCCCCCTCTCATGTGCTCTCTCTCCCATTCTCTCTGTCTCAAATAAATAAATAAAATCTTAAAAAAAAAAAAAAAGTATTTATTTGAGAGGGAGAGTGAGCAGGGGGGAGGGGCAGAGGGAGAGGCAGAGAGAGTCCCAAGCAGACTCCACACTGAGTATGGAGCCCGACACGGGGCTCGATCCCACGACCCTGAGATCATGACCTGAGCTGAAACCAAGATCCAGTGGCTCAACTGAGCCCCCCCAGGCGCCCCAAGAGCTAGCATTTTTATAGGACTTCACAGTTTACCAAAGGGTCCCCCTCCTGGCTAGGATCTAAAGTGAGGCAACTCACATCTACATTTGATGATTGCCTTTTACAATTTTTTCCCATCTGCATAAGGCCATTTGTTTTTTGTGTCCAGTTATTTATTGTGGTTGTTGTTTTTAAGTAATCTGCACACCCAGTGTGGGGCTTGAACTCACAACCCTGAGATCAAGAGTCACATGCTCTACCAACTGAGCCAGTCAGGTGCCCCAAGGCCATTTGATTCCTTAAAACCACCCCGTGAAGGAAGCAGGATAGGGATTTGAAAGTATGCAGGCTTTGGAACCAGACTTATTTGCTGTGTGGTCTTAGATAAATGGCTTATCATTTTTCTTTGTAAAATAGGCTAATAATCCCCCACCTTAGAGGCTTGCTGTGAGGAAGGGATAGTATCTGTAACATGCCCTGCAGAGCACAGCAGGTGCTTAGTACACGGTTGGCATGATAGTTTTATACCCATTTTATAGATGGGGACGCCGAGGCTCAGCATGTGAAGTGGCTTGCTTAAGGCTTCATAGCTAACGAACTGCTAAGCTTGAAAACTGGTCCCAGGAGCCCTGCCTCCCAGGCCAGTGTTCATGCTGGCTGACAGCAGTGCCCCTCAGGACCCTGGGGTTCTGTGTCCCATCCATCCCCCCATGACCCTCTGTGGCTCCTTACCTGCTTCCTCAGAGTCTGCTCCAGTCTGCAGGGTGGCCATGTGGCATGTACTCTGTGCTCTAACTCCTTTGGCCTGGTTTCCAGGCAGTTGTGGGTGGGTCTTATTTGCATGGGTCTTCTGGCCGCTCCTCGCCACAGCTCTATTGCAGGTTTTTCTCTTCCTTCTGATGACTTTGGGCAGTCTGTGCTCACGGGGGACAGCCCAGGAGCTCTGGTTTCCTCTTCCTCCTGTGAGTCACTCTTGCTTGTTCTCGAAGGGGGTCAAAGTCTCTCATCCTTGCAGACCTCGGTTCGGTATTCAGTTGGTTTCCTGCTATGTCTGACTGCACCACTTTGACTCACGCCCAGCCTTACTTTGATGGAAGGCCGGGCATCTCTGAAGCCACTTCTGGCCCTCAACCTAGTTAGCTCCTTCCCTACTCTGAGCCCCCACAACCAAAATACAAAGGGCTCTTGCAAAATATTAAGAAAAAGGCAAATTGTCCAACAGAAAAACAATCAGGGGAGAGTTATTTAAGCATAAGCGTGAAGAGCCTGGGTCAATCAAGTCAGACTTTGGGGTCAGAGTCAAGTCCTTGCTCAGAATCCAGACACTACTCATTGACTAGTGATGGAGATGAGCAAATTGACTTCTCTAAGCCTCGGTTCCCTCCCCTGAAAATTGGCATCGTAATTTTATCTACTTGATCTGATTAAATGAAATAGCACTTGTAGAGATCACAGCACGGTGCCTGGTACACGGTATAGCACGCAGTAAATGTTAACTACGACTATTACGATGATGTGATCAAGCAAATCACCAAAAAGAAAAGAAGTACAAACAGAACATATACGTAATTACTCCACTTCATTTATGATTAGAGAAACTCAAATTTGAATAAGACACTGATTCTTTTTTTTTTTTTTTTAATTATTTGACAGAAAGCACAAGCAG